CATTGCCTACTTACTGCGTGTGTGCTGTGTGCCTTACTTGCCCGACCATGGAGACGTGTTTATGGCCGGCAAATAATTTCATATTTCAGCCGGACCGTGGCCACTGCCCTTGGCGGGGACCTTAAATTGAAGTCCTCTAAGGTCGCCAATTTAAAATTCAACTCGAGTACTAGGACTGAATTAATTATAGCGTTACGGGCGGTATGAATAAACTATTTTGTAAGTCAAAGGTTAGCTGCACACGAAGCGCAAAATCATTAGCAATTAGGAAAAAACGGTGAGCAAAATGGTGATAAATAATTAAATTAATTATAATTTTTAGCCAAAACTAAAAGTATTAAAAACTACGTGCTAACAGAAGTTAAAACAATAATTAACCCTTTAATATATTCATTTAATTATTTAATTAAATTGCTGCTTTGAAATCTTTACCACCAAATCTACATACTAAAATTTCCACGAACTTTGCAGGATTAATAGAATTTAATGGCAAGAATAAAACTTGGAAGGTTCCTACACTGTACTCAGCACCTACTACAGAACCAGTGCCTTTTCCTACACAGTCGTCAAAAGCCGTTGCGGACTGGTTGTTGATTTAAGCGACAAAATAATAATCCATCCGCCCTGTGTGCCGATGCCAAATTGTATGCTAACAAATGCAAACAGGGCGGCAGGACAAAAAAGCAGAGACAAAGCCCCGAAAAAAATGGCGTGTGCTGCCGTTTGTCCTGCCACTTTCTCATTTCCACTTTCTCCTCGCTGCTTTCCGCTTTCTCGTTCCGTTCGCAGCAAAAGCGCAAAGTCATGACAAACAAAAATAAATGCCGGCCCTGTGTGTGTGCGTGCAAGTGAGTATTTGCACTCCTGCGAGGATGTGTGTGTGCGTGTGCGATGCTTGTTTGCTCTGCCGACCCGCCACGCCCCCCACGCCCCTCTCAGCCACCATGTCGATGTGTAACAAAAAGATCATTATTGCTGCTTGTCGTTGTGTAGCACGGTACGGTATGGCATGGTATGGCATGGTATGGTATGGTATATGGCAAGCCGTGGTCTATTGTTCCCTATTTTCGAGCATGCTTAGCGTTCTCTATTTATTTTTTGTCTGCTGCTCACGGTAATCCTGTGGAACCCCCGAAAATGCGCATGTGGAGGCCACAGAACTAAGCACTAAATATTTTATGGCATATACTGGTGTGCAGGCTCCGTGAAAATATATCATAGTCAAACATATGTACTAACCGCACGCAGTGTTTGTGGCTCGAATGTCCTTTGCCATTGAAATGACTCACTTGTACAATGTAAATATAAGGACTTGAAGTAGACAGAGAGAGCTGCAGCCAAATTAGCATCTCTAAAAGTTGATTAACTTTTAACTTTGTGAGTTCTCTCCCACACGAACACCATTAAATCTTATCTAAATACAATTAAAATTAAATCGCTGACCACTTGTCCGCGGCGCCATAAAAAAACTTTTGCACAGTTGGCAAAAGTTTCGCAGTGTCGTAAAAAAGTCGTAAAAATTTCTGTAAGGGAAAGCGAAAAAATAATTGCATAATTAGCGAGACTTGGCGAACAAGTTGTGACAGGAGAAACCACATGATGACCGAAATTCGCAACTATTTGCAAATGACTGCAGTTTCCCGAATTGCTCTCGAGCTTAGGGAATCACTTTAGACTTGTTCATGTGCGCTTTTCCCGCCTTATCCACTCAAATCGGGTTTAATCATTCAAGTTTACAGCGGCAAAACTTTTGTCCCTCTTTTCTTTAATTTATTCTTGTCAAAGACAAGTTGTTCCGACAGGTATTTTCGAACCGAATAGTTTATTTCGATAAGAACTCGACTATGAATAGATTGAATATCCCCTCAAAGCCGACGATTTATTAGCAAACTTATATTTATTAGTGCTCTCTGGAGCAAACTTTGGGGTTCACTTAAGCAAGTTCTTGTTCCTTTTAAGCCCTACACCCAGAAAAAATATAACTTTCATATTTAGTTTTTCGTAAATTGATACAATAAAATGTAAATGTTTTGTTTTCATACAAATAAATATTCCTGAAGCGTATAGAAGCTTATATAAGTAGTCTAAAATTTGATTTTAAAGAACAATAGTGTCGACTAAAAAGGTGTTTTTTTAGTGTGCCCCACTTGCACTTAAACTTTCAGTTACCGTATGAGGGTAATGTTGCGAAATCCCTAAGGCGAACATCCATTCTAGCTCTTGCCACGCCCTTCTGTTGGCAACATTTGAACCAAAACTTTTTACAGTTGCTTAACTTCACGCGCAAGTTATAGTTTAACACAGTTGCGCCATTTCCGCTTCCGCTTGATGGGATGCAACCTGAGTTCCGCAAAGCATTTGAGGCAGCCCCACCTCGCCATTTTTATACCCGTTACTCGTAGAGTAAAAGGGTATATTGTGTTCGTAGAAAAGGGTGTAACAGGTAAGACGAAGCGTTTCCGAACCTATTCTTGATGAGGATCAATAGCCGAGTCGATCTAGCCATGTCAGTCTCTCCGTACGTATGAACATCGAGATTTTAAAAACTATAACAACTATAGATTTGTATCATTACTTCTGAAGTTATTAGCTATTTTAAGTGTTAATCATGATGTCACTGCCTATTTAAAAAAAATAAGTTTATATATTTCAGAGAGCGGAAGAGAACAACTTGTGGTGTTGGCACTGTAGCTCGACAGATGGGGTACCACCTAAAATTTTCGAAATACGAAGGAAATATTAGCTGGGGATTATGGATAGCTGAGTGACGGGTATCTTAAAGTCGAGCCACTCGACTATTCGTTTCTCCGTGTTCTATTTGATTTTCTAATTATTTTACTCATGAGAATTAATGGCGTGTCCACGGGGGCAACAGGTAAAGCACAAAGTGTATTTGCCTTTACGCTTTTATGGCTCTGTCGTGCCATAAATAAATTAATAGAAAAGTGTGGACAGACCGCCCGGTTACATGCTCATTAGGGGACATTAATTCGTTTTAATTATTGTGCACTCGCCCAGCTTCGCACTGGCATAATTATTTATGTTGACATCTCCAGCGTCAATGCAAATAGCATGTACTCTGACTTCAGCTTCCCCGAATTTGTTTGCTAATTAGCTGATTTATGTGCCTCCTCCAGACAACTGTCACTACAAGCACTGGCACTCTCTGCTCATTAGTTGCAATCTCATTACACTTATCGCAAGAGCACCATGTAAAAATGAATAAATTATAAGCCGGTCTTCAGAGTTTGCATTTTCAACTTTGATATAATCGGATAATTAATTATCAAAAGAATTTAAACGCAATTAGTGAAGTTGTATGCAGCTTAAAGCGACAGTCAGCTATTTTCCCATTTACTTCTGGGCTGTCCGGAGAGTCTATAACTATCCAGCCAATGACTAAACTTTTAAATTAAGAACCATAAAGAATTTTCCATCCGTTTGTTTTACTCATTTCTAAAAATGCCCCTTTACTTTCCCATTTTTTGCGGCAGCTCTCTGCAGAACTGAGAAAACTGCTGAAACTACGTAAGCCGAAACGACTGGCAATAACACTGAATCTAAATAGAGGCAATTTGTGGGCTGGGAATTCGCCAGACTCATTTATTAATTGCCTTATTTTGCAATTAAACAAGGCCAGGTTGAAGTCCCGCAACTGCCCTGGGAAACTGGGCAGGAGAAAACCCACATTAAGGATGGGGCATTCATCACATCTACGTGACCGAGGTACCTACACCGCTCCAGCGCCTCAGGTCCCAAAACTATCATTAAAAGCCGGCAGTCCAGGGGGAATTAAACTGACAGAGACTTTGGCAATTATCACTGCCCCATGCCATTTTTCTAATACGCTCAAGGGGTACAGGGAGGTCAGCAATAAGTGAACATTAAATTACAAAATGTCAGCAGAACGGGCTAGGAAATTGAATATCCTGTGAAACAGCTCTGCGGGAAATGACAACCAGCACACACACCTGCCAACTGATATTGTGTGTGAAATGTTGGGCTTTTTCAGCTCCTTCATCTTCTCATCCTCTCATCACTCGCAACTCCTTTTATCTGCCAACGGCCTGCCGGCAGTCTGTGATTTTTGCATAATTTTGCAATTACACCTAAATACTGCTAATTGTTTTAGCCTGCCAACAAAGTTTATCAGAACACCTGTGCCGCACACAAGTCGTATGTGTAATCATTTTTTCGAATTAGTCTGCCCCCCGACGAAAGCTTTTCAAATGAATAAATCCCACAATTTGCCATCAGTAAGTCCCAAAGAGCTTTAAATTTATTTTCATTTCTTTTACTCGCTCAGCGAACTTAATTTAAAGACGAAACAGCAAATCACTCCCTGGCTGCTCAATTTAATTAAAATACTTCAACTTTAGATTTGGCCATCAAACTTTTCCTATTTTAGACTTAAAACCGAATTGCCGTCCCGATTTGCTGTAACTTATAATTAAAGGTGAAAATTGAGCCAAGTACCAACTTTGCCAAACTTTTTTTATGTAGATTTATTTTCCAGTGTCCAGTTAAATTTACTTTTCCGTCAAAAATTATTTGGAAGTTATATTAATTAATATTTGTTTTGTCCTTTTTTTGTTGCCTAGTCGAAAGCAGACTGAACCAAAAATCCACAACCCAAAATAAAAGAAGAAAAGGAAAGGTTAACCAAGGTCTGTCCTTCACAAACTTTGTGTTTATATTTTGATAATGAAATTAGTTTCGGCTCTCGGTAAGATTTATCTTTTTGACTGGCGAGACGTCTCCAGACTTATTAAGCGGCGGCAGTAGCAACTTAATTAATTAGGGGTCAAAGCAAGTGGCTTATACTAAATAAGCAATAAGTTGTTGCGACGTATTTTCTTTTTGATTCGTATTTAGTGGGTTAAAGGATATAAAACTTTTTATTTGCTGTGACACGTTAAATATCTGATAAAATTCACATATATTGTATGCAAAGCTAATTTTATTGTTGATGTGTTTTTTGTAGCCTTTCTATTATTAACCTTTTTTGTAGTGCCTTTCCATTTAGGTCTTACCAAACCCCTAATTATTTTTATTTGTAATGTTTTAAAGCCTTACAAGTTCTCATTCTGTTTAGAACACGTTAGTTAAATATTGTGATTATAATTTACACCAAAAATGTTTCCATTCTCAGGAAATCTTTGTATTAGTGATGTGGCATCCGGTTTTTCTATTCACTTTAAAATATTCTCAGATTAGGATTAATAAAATAATTTTATAAATAAATTGTTAATTATTTAATTATTATTTTTTCCAGTATCGATTAATTTCCATTGCTTAGTTTTATAACATTAGCAAAATCACGGCACATCACACGTGCATTATCCGCGGATGATATTCAATAATGATATGTCCGAAAAGGAGAAGGAAATCAGAGCTGATTAGCTACCGAGGGCGTCTGCATTGTCGAAGGACCGGCGTGCAACTGAAATTCCACTGATATCAGCCAGGACAACAGGAGCCTTGTTCTAAAATCAGGACACGAGAGGGGTGTTCTAAAAGCGTAGGACAGTCGATTCGTCTTCGTGCCGCCACTCGGCTCAGTTCGTATGTAAGTCCTTTGGCGGCCACTGGGTTAGTAGAATTTATGAATGGAACAAACACTTGTTAGCATGCGCCTGGGGAAGGCTTGACTGTCCTACTGCGTAACTGTCATACTGTCATACGCGGAGGGGTAAGGACCCCTTGTCTTGGCCTGTAGCTTTCATGTCGTCAAAATCGTCCTCCCCCTCCCATCGAACAAAACATTCCGACGGTTCTTCGCTTACGGCCAAAAACTATTGGCTTTTCATGGAGTCCCTGGTTATTCCGCTGTTTGCCTTCCGTGCCATTGTGTGCGCGGATTTATAAAGTTCCACCAAATTGATTCTCGTGCAGGCGAGTGGGCATTGCATAAAACATAAACTTTATTACAGAAAAGAACATTTAACAAATTTGAAACTTTCCAAATATCAAGTTATTATTCTGTAACTTGTACTTCGTATATACACACTACCGTTTGTTTACCGAAAATATCTAAGACATTGTTGAATTTTTATACCCTTGCAGAGGGTATTATAATTTTGGTCAGAAGTTTGTAACGCAGTGAAGGAGACGTTTCCGACCCCATAAAGTATATATATTCTTGATCAGGATTAATAGAGGGTTCGATATAGCCATGTCCGTCTGTCCGTCTGTCCGTCCGTCCGTCCGTCTGTCCGTCTGTTTCAATACCGTTTGCGAGCTCAGTTTAAAAGATAGCGATCTGAAAATTTCACAGTCGTCCTAAAACATATGTACGCAGATCAAGTTTGAAAACCGCCACGATCGGACTTCTATATCCTATATCTCCTATAGGAACAATAGGGTGAAATCGGTTAAAATTTAATGATTTTTAGGATATTTCGCGCAGTATATAAGCTATTGACATGAATCTTTTCAAATCGTATTTTTTTATACATACCTTTATTAGGGTAAAAGCGCGTGACGATCGGACGTCTATATTCTATAGCTCCCATAGGAACAATATAACTTATTTTCATTTTTAGCTATTTCGGCAAAGTCATCAAGGGTATTAAAACTTCGGCTTGCCGAAGTTAGCTTCCGTCCTCGTTTTATGATGACTTTATAATAACTGCAAATATTTTTCTTGCGTGCCTCTTAGTTCTAAGGACTTGAAAACCGTTCGAAATAGTCGACAAACTGTAAACGCAAATACAAAATATACAATACGGTCAAGCAGACAGCATCCTGACTGGCATTTAAATGCAGCAGGACAAACGGAGAAATAGCAGATTAAGTCCGTTCCTCAAAAGACCAGCAAAAGGAAGAGTTGGAACACTACAGACTGAAAGAGGCCGGAGAACCACTCTAGAATCCAACAACCCGCCATCGAGCAATATCTCGTTATTATTGCTTTCAGAAAGAGAAACGAAATTGGCAACGAACATTGCAGTCAGTACAAGACCGGATTCCGGGCAGGATAACTCAGAAATGCATGCTCTAGATCCTAATTGGAAATTTCGTATTATTGGAACCAGTCATTCTTTGAAGCAGGAAATACGACAAAGGGAAAGCACCTTTTGGTAATTTAAGACCACAAATTTCAACGAGGGAATTCCCAAAAAGTGTCTGTGTCTACAAACACACCAATTATCCCCATCAGAACTCGAGTAAAAGTCAACCGAAGTGGGAATGAATGGAATCCCTGCTTAGCCAGCTTAAAGGCACACAAATTAAACAGACACAAGAAACTAGACAAAGCCCGCCCGAAATCCTGGTTAAAAGTCAAAACGCAAAGGCACGCACAAAGCCACATATGTGCGAAAGTCTTAGGGAAGTCGGAAAAAGGAGGAAAAACACCGACAAAAACGGGGCAAGACAAAAGAGGAAAAAACGCCAAAATCGGCAGAGGAAAAACTTTCAGCCAAACAAGCAGCATGTCAACCGAAGGCAGAAGGCAAAAAGCTCCGGTTTAACAGGAAACGGAGGAATCCTGGCAGGCATAGAAAGGATAATGCGCGGCATGCGGAACGCATAAGCGGCAAATTCCATTAAGTGGCAACAACACAGCGGCCAGATTGGGGGCTTCCCATCGAATTAAAATGATATGAGCAAAAGGGCACCCTGCGTCCAGGGTTGCCACAGCGCTTCATGGGATATAAATTTCTTTATGCCTCTTTTGATGAGGATGCGTGGCCACCCGCCCTGCGGATATGATATTAAAGTGAGTGGTGCGCGGGGTTGGCGAATATAAAAATTCAATTTACAAGTAACTGGGTCAGCTCGGGCACTGATTCAGCCAGACTTTCGCCGGGTTTCGCTGAGTTGATGACCACTGAGCGGATGGGTCGTAAAGAACCTATGGGATAGCATAAGCAATTTATGTATATGTTGAGTGGCCTTCAAATGGTTTAATCTTTCAGGGCAACGATGCCGGCTCAGATAGGTAATCGTAAAGTTCGAAATGAATGTGATGGACACTTCAAAGATTTTAAGGATATCCTTTTATGCTTTTTTCCGAACGTCCCAAAAGAAGTCCCAAAATTCAAACCAATTTTTAGCCAGGACACAACCCGCGCCAAAGCTTGAAAACTGTTATACAGCCAAGGCTAACATAGCTTCCACACAACTGAAGTTCTTCAGCATTTCACGCATTTTTCTGGGTAATCTGATATCATTAGTGCTGAAAGAACTGCGTCCTTGATCATTTTCCAGGAAAAACGTACAAAACAAGAAACTTGTTCTGGCCACGCTTCTAAGGCGGAAGAAATAGAAGAAAATTTGTTAATTCCTTTAAATATCACAGTAGACGGCAAGTAGTGATAACTCGCTGTTTAAGAGAGTGAGGAGGAGACTAATAATATATGTCCGCAGAATTAAAATGTGCAGTATTGGTCGAAAGGTATCGCTTTGAGGGATTGAATACCAAAAATATTAGAAAATAAATTGGATTAGGAAAGATAAGGAGAAATGTTCAAAAAGTGTATTTATTTAAAAGAGATCTTAATAAGTTTTCGTCCGAAAATTTGATATCAAAAATTTTTTATGTTAAAAGTGCAATCGTCACGACCTTTTTACCCGTTAAGATTTTATTTGATAAATATGAAGGAAATTTATTACACTTAGATTAGTACAAGTGGAAATCTCAAACTTTAAGACCCCAAAATAGTAAATTAACGAAATATATTTATTCAAATTCTTGTGCTTGATATCAATTTTTAGGTGATATATTAAAATTGAAAAAAACGCCTATGTTCTTTAGATACCTCTTAAAGTGGAAGACTAGTATGCGTAGAAACGCCCAGACGTACATGGCTATATTGACTCTCCTAGTAAAGTAGATCAAGAATACATATACTTTAAACGCTCGGAAATGTCTTCATTACTGCCTTGCAAATCCTTTGACTAAAATTATTATGCCCTCAGCAAGGGTATAAATATACCTTTTTCATAAAATTTTAAAAATATTTGGCGTTTAATTAGACTGGGATTTCGGATATGGGATTTAAAAGAATGGTAAACAAAATGTTTGTATATTTTCATTACATAAAAATAATAAATAAATCGAATGGCTCGGAATGCCATAGACTAAAATCAAATCTATTAGTTTCCAGTTAACACTTCTTGAAATTGTTAAAAAGAAACAAATGTAAAAGCCCTACTTATCAATTATATAAAAAGAGTGTATTAATTCAAAAGTCGGAGAAAATCTCAGAAAACCCGTTTGCTATATATTTAATTTGCACCCCTAAGTGATCTTGCTTCTCAATATTTGGTAACTCCTTTGTGTTTTTGTTTGGCAAACAAACAAGCCATTCCAGCTTTGAAAATGTCAGTACTAATATTAGTACTGTGGATGCGGGTGTGTTGGCAAACAGAAGTAACTCCCTTTTCCTGGAGTGCCACAATTGAATTCGATTGAACTTAAACAGGAAAATTGCGTGTGCGAGTATGCTGTGTCGAACCATTTGCATACAAACAAAAAATAACATAGATTCAAATGCTTTTTCAACGGTGGTGAAAGAGGCACAATGGTATTCAATACTTGTTAAAGGTAATAATGCTAATGACTGGGCTATGTAGCTGAACAAACCACGATTTGAATTTCAGTGGGATTATTCCGTTTGCGTTGTTTTCCTGCGAAAGACAGCCGGGTCTGTAATGAACCATGAGCAGCTTAAATTATTGGGAAGCTGATGAAATATTGATGTACTACAGAGGATTTATTTACCATGCTCAGAAAAAACAAATATTTGAATAAATTTATACCGTTTCTGATATTTTCATTTGCATTTCACACTCGTTCATTTCCCCCTTAATTGCATTTTGTAAATATTATTTTCTTTGGTGTTTTAAAAATAATACAAATCTTGAGGTTGCATATTTGTTTGGGCATAGCCATTCAATAAATTTGATTGCCGCGCTTTTATTGACGAAGTCATAATATATCGCATCTAGGTTTTGCAAAAAGTAAACAATAACTTTGCTGCAATCATTAGTCAAAAAATAACAGGGAAATTCAGTGATCTAAATAAATAACAAATCGCCCAGAGTTAAAATATCTAATCTGATATTTAAGCAAGAAAACAATACACAATGCAAGCCAAACAAGAAAGGAAAGCTAACTTCGGGCGGAGCCGAAGTTGATATACCCTTGCAGAATATTATGTACATTATATTCTCCAAAATTATTCATATGATACATTCTTAATACTCATAAAAAATCCCAACTTCCTA